AAAGGACACTATACTTTTCTGATTCTATCCATGGAGGAAGTCTTGCTTATGGAGTCGTCATGGTGAATGGTGAGCAAAAGCGTCTCCAGATGGAGGCAGGAGTGAACACTGAAATGCAAAAAGGGGTCACCATATGGGCGGGCGAAGGGAAGGAAGAAAAACTAGAGATCAGTTTTATAGTGTTCATGCCAGAAGGAACAGGCCTTAGATGGTGCTGTGCAATCAAAACTATGTCTTATTAAAACCTGTGAATACAGCTGCACAATATTTGTGTCCTTTATGAAAGACAATTGACCCGAAATTAGATCCCCTCTATTCAGAGCCTTATGGATTCCTCCAAACCACCTTGATATCCCTGGAATAGGTGTCTGTGTCTAGTGAGTTGGGAGACAAATGAAAAAGTCCTAAATCACACTGGAAAGGAATGGAAGTATTTTGGAGGTTTTGCCATGGTGATCCAGTCTCTGAAGAAAGTTCAGCCCGCTGTGGCCAGACGTATGGAAGGGCCCACTTAACCCATAAAAATATTCCTAAAAACTAAAATAAAATGCCAAGAAGTCTGCCTGTTACTGTGGCATCGTGGCTAGGAATAGGAGTATTCTCGGTGAGGAAATGGCTGAATGGCAATCTCTTCCATTTTGCGGCAGGACCTGGAGACGAAAAGGTGTGCATCTCCCATACAGAAGCCTGGGAGGGCAGGGAGTATGTCTGGACTGGCTGTTGGCATGAAGGGGAGAAACTTTCCTTACTAGAGAGTGGTGTGGAGCATTCTTGAAAACTGCCAGGACGCAAGCAGCATGCTAGTTTCTTCCGAATATGCTGTGGAACAGGGAACCCACTTCCCTTTATCTTTCTTTATAGCAAACTTGTGGATAGTTAACACAGGTATCCTGGCTTCGCTGCCCAAGGATAAGCTATTGGAATCTAAGGACCCAAACACTCTTAGAGTGGGAACCCTCATTCTTGGATGGGAATCTAATTTGGAGTACACGGAGTACAATCTATCCAGTCAGAGTTAGGGGTAACATTAAGTTTACACTGGACAAATAGGAGGATCCCTGTGACTACCCAGTAATTTGAATCCTAGACCCATCTAGGAGACGGCCTGGCTGACACGGAGGGCTCACCCTTTGGAGTGGAACTTATTGCTGTTCTGTGGACCCTAATTGTAGCACTGACTCTCTGGAATGAACAGGAACTCTGTGGAAATGGTGGAGCACCACCATGCCTGGCGTAGCCTCAGCAACTAGTGACATCTCTTTACACAGTCTCTTGTGTTTTGTGTTCTCACTGCTCAGGTCTTCCTCCATCAGGGAGCTGGCAGGACCTGAAGGATCATATGCGTGAAGCTGGTGATGTATGTTATGCAGATGTTCAGAAAGATGGAATGGGGGTGGTTGAGTTTCTTCGCAAAGAAGATATGGAATACGCACTGCGTAAACTGGATGACACCAAATTCCGATCTCATGAGGTGGGTTCCTGCCTGGGTGAAGAGCATGTGCGTGTGCCAGTCATGGAGGAACATAACGTTTACCTGTCCTTTTGTGATGCTCTCTCAAGAGGCTTCTGAGCACAGTCTAGCGGTAGTCTTGGAGATGGTGGCTTTGTAGGATTAAGGGTTGCCAAGGCTGTCTGAAACCTACCCCATGATGGTATGGTTAAAAACAGTGAGGCAGAAATTAGGCTTTGTGCTTTATTCCTGGAAAATGAGCATTTGGATTACTTGCTTTTAACCTCTGAGCAAGTTGATTTCATTTGTCACTCTCCCATTGACAGCCAGTGGGTGAACAAAGATGGCTATCAGCTGATTGTTTCAATAAGCTTGCCTTCTATTGGCAAGCTGAAATGATATTTCCCAAAGGAGCAGCTGTGTAGCTCTGTGGCTAACTTAATAGTAATCTTCCCCACCCGTGCTTGGATCTTCCTACTTAAGGTGGTTTGATCTCTACTATAAACCAGGTTATTATTCTTGGGGCATTGCCACTACACTTGCAACCACCTTCTCCTAGTGGCTGGCTTGATCTTCCACCACCCAGTCAATCACAGATGGAGGCTGCTTGTTATGGAATTTTCTTCAAGAATCTGAACTGCAGAAACAGAATTAAGTTAAGATGGACTGGTGAGAGTTCACCAAGACCTCTCCTAATGGTGCTGAAGGACTTCACTAGCCTACATCCTCTCCTTCTGATAGCTTAACTTTTGGAACCCGACATCATCACCCTTCTTAGTCACAGGGGGACAAAACATGTCTGGGATGGCCTCCACAGCCTAGCTGTTCCGTAACAAGCTCTTTCTCTGCAGACCTGATGGGCCACATCTGAATTGGCCTACGGCAGCAATAGGATTTAACCTGCCTGTATACAAAACTCTCCACTTCTGAGCCCCTTTGTGCATTGGGTTCTCGTCTTCATTTTTGGCATTCATTTATTCATAACACTTGACCACAGGATGTTGTGCCAACGTTTGGGTTTTCTCTGTTCTGAATTCCAGGGTGAAACAGCCTATATCAGAGTTTGTCCCGAAAGAAGCATCAGCTACGGCTACTCGCGCTCCCGTTCTGGTTCAAGGAGTCGCGATTCTCCTCCGTACCAAAGCAGGGGATCACCGCGCTATTCTTCGCCCTTTAGGCCATTCTGATCGCACCCAATAGGGACTCGTGACAATGTGAACTGAGCGTGTCATTTCTGCTCAAAGAGTTTACATTCCAAAATGGATGGATATAGTCTTTCGTAGGAAACCTTTTGGTTGTTTTTTTTTTCTTTCTATTCAATAAAATCTTTTTTTTATGACAACTGTTTTTACTAGGGAAGTTTGGTAATGAAGTATTATGAACCATTGCCACTTAAAATGCGTTTTATTTGAAAAATGTAAGTTGTTTTTGCTTTCCTTCTCAGCGAAGGGACTCATACATGTTAATAGTTTGTCTGCTGGATGGGCTTTAAAACAGCAGAGCGAGGACTGTTGGTGGTGTTTTGAAATATATTCCAGTGTTTCTGTAACTCATAAGTGGGTGGCTGTCTTTTTGCGCAGTCAGGGTAGAAAGTGGAGATAAAACAGCTGACCCTGGTTTTAAAGTTACTTCCTTATTGCGTTAAAGAAGCTTTTAAAAAGTTTTTGCTCTCTGCAGGTGTCATACTGGAAACATCAAAGAGATGTGTTTAAGCTGTTCTAGTATAACGCCAGTGCAATTAATTTTACTGGTGGTTTTAATATGTAGTTTCACAAATAGCATCCAGAATTTTTTTTATCAAGCCTGGAAGGGTTGAGAGAGCAGGTTTAATACAATTTAATGTCTTAAAAGCAGAAGCTAAAAATTTGGGAAATGTACTGAGGAATGAGTGTTCCATGCTTCTCACTAATTGCAAAATATGTCGAATTTAAGCATCTCTTGGAAGTTTTATGGAAGTCCCATCGTTAATTTGATCCATAAAATAAAATGGATTTCAGTGGTTTTGTGCTTAGTTAACTTGTAAAATGAGATGTTTTATTTGAATTCCGTGTCCGTAACTGTCAACATATTAAGAGCTTATAAGGAAAGATTTGTTTTAGCCAGCTTGCTAGTTTAGGGGAATTGCTGCCCATCTAGGCTTTGAGAATCATATTTTGAGATTTTGCTCACATGAATGGCTGCAAAGATCTAGTCCCAGGTCTTCTATTGAATTAATACCTTATTGCATCATATCAATAGCTGCAGTCATATGAACAGTGGGAAAATAAATGGGAGAATAAAACTAATACCATTTTGGCATAAAATTGATTAAACTGCTTGTGTTGTATATGAAATACAACTTATGTACAATAATAAAATAATTATGTAGCAACATTTGGGTAGAAAAACACAAAGCAGTATATGTCCATTGCAAAATCAAATGTGGCATATTTGTCAGAAAGTCTCCGTGCTTTGCTTACTAAATAGAGGCTGGAGTTCAAAATGCGCCAAGTAGAAAAAAACATAGCTTGTTTGTGGCTTAGTGATTAGATACCTTTAATGTGGTTCGTCTGCACTTATTTTGTATCCTGCAGAATAGCATTACATGGATTTTATTGAGGGGAGGTGAGATTTAAGACTTAAGGTGGTTTAACACGCCTATTTCCTTCTTTTAAAATAAACATCTCTCCTGATTGGACTCTTTTCTGTGCAAGGTTTAAATGCCTCCACCTGTTCTCCATAAAGCACCCCCCAAAAAAATATTAGCTGGCCATTTTTGGGCCTTTAAATGTCATACTAACCATAAAATGCTGTTACTGGGTGCACAAAAAATTGTATGTCTTAGACATGCGTAGAGAGGTTAGCCTAATTATCATCCTTCATCTAAAAAAGGGCTACATTTCTGTAGCAACTAATTTTCTTCTGGAAGACTGCTCTAAAGGCCATGAAAATTGTTCCTCACAAATTTAAATGCCATATCATATCTTAATAAACAGTACACCTTTTCTTCTGCGGTAATTAAAAAAAAGCAAAGTGTAAAAGCAATCGTACTACATTCTATTCAGTTTTCCTGGAAAATATTTTGTTTCATGACTGAACTGTATTTCAATTCATAAAGCAAATTTTTGAATTCCCTTTTGCAGAATGTTCTGCCCTCAATAATACATGGTCCTTTTGTGCTAGCATTTTTGTTCAAAGATAGTACATGTTTCGTTTATTAATGTCTGCCAGCTTATGGATGGCTGGTCTGTAGCTGACTCAGACCTCTGTTTCAATAGTTGTATACTTAAGCTTTAAGCTATAACAGTTCTGGATACTTTTCATGTTCCTCCTGGACTGACTGAGCAGTGCTGATCACTATTCGCTCACAGCAATTCAGTTTATAGAGGAATTGTTGCAGTTATGGCCAGTGTTGCCTCTATATTCGGTTCCCCAAACTTCTAGAGGTTTGGGCCTATGAACGTCCTCATTTCATGACTTTTGATCATGGTCTCTTCACAATTATGTGTTTCTTTTGGGGAATTTGGCGACTTGAGATTCAGTGATTAAAATATTTAAACACCATAAAATGTACCAGTAAACTTGTGCAAAATTTTAATGTGATCAGAATTCTTGTATGGGGTTTAAAAGAAGTTCTAGACATGTTCACACACCATGTTTGTGTTAAACTTAGTGTCAATGATACTCTTTCCTAATTACAGCTTTGTAATTAGTATTTTTGTTTTGGCTAAGCAACACCAGTCATTTCAGTTCCTGTTCCTCCCCCTCCCCTTCACATGAGGTACCCGATATAAAAATTTGATCTAGATAACAATACACAATGTGTCTAAAAGCAGTTGGTGATGGCATTTCAAGTCGAATCTTCTATTAAGAGTCTTCCTTGTGAAGAAAACTATTTCTCTCTTCTACCTTTGGCAGAGGGATGTTACCTAGTACAAACAAAAATTGGCAGGAATAAAATACTTTCGATAGTTTCGGTATTTTCTATTAGAAATAAAAATTGATGGTCATATTATGCGATATATCATTCAGCTACCAAATATATTATTTGATGAAGGAAAAAGGACTTGTTTCCAAAGAAACAAGCTTCAATTGTGCTCTTAATTGTAAAAATAAACTTCAAGGGCAACACCTTACTAATTTTAAACGGAAAATATCAGCTTTCAAGGATGTTCATTACACAGTTCTTTGTGTTGCTTCAAACACACTACTGACCAAATTGTACTCTGCAAAATAACTGAAATTAAGAACATGTAATATTGAATTCAATAATCTAGGCCGGTTCCCAAAAATACCAGAATGGTATTTCTTAGCAGAGATACAATATACCCACCATTACTGCCTCCTATATAATGAAATTAGATGCTAAGTTCTCTTCTGCATTCACATTGTAAACAAAGTGTTTAAAATTCTACAACATGGATTTCCCTGCACGCGCCCTGCAAAATGTTACCTGGTGGAGCTATGAAATATCCTTCAACTGTCTTGGCAGCCTTCTTCAGGAGTTCCTCTGCGCAATTCCCTTCTGAGATATCATCTCCTCTGAGATAGAGATGCCTGAGGAACACAAAATCATTCGCCATCAGCCTGCCGGCAGCTCTCTGCAATGTTTTCCCCTTCAAGGCCAGGAGAAATTATGCAGCTTGCCAAGCCTAGCAAGAGCCCTGGGCGCAAGGCGGCCCCGCTTTTCATCAGAATGGGGAAGGATTCAGCAGGAGCAACAGCTTTGCTTCGCCGGCCTTTTGCCTGCAAAAAGCATATAAGGAACGGCTGCTGGAATTGGGGATGTCTAGCTTAATGAAGAGAAGGACGAGGGGGGACATGATAGCAGTGTTCCAGTATCTCTGGGGCTGGCCCAAAGAAGAGGCAGTCAAGCTATTCTCCAAAGCGCCTGAAGGCAGGACAAGAAGCAACGGCTGGAAACTAATCCAGGAGAGAAGCAACCTGGAACTAAGGAGAAACTTCCTGACAGTGAGAACAATTAATCAGTGGAACAACTTGCCACCAGAAGCAACACTGGAAGTTTTTAAGAAGAGACTGGACAGCCATTTGTCCGAAATGGTGTATAATTTCCTGCCTGAGCAGGGGGTTGGACTAGATGACCTCCAAGGTCCCTTCCAACTTTATTATTATTATTACTACTGTCAGCTGCTTCTGAAGGGGTGATGATGAACAGAACTAAAATCCGCCTGGCTGTCCCGGTGTTGGGGAATCCTGAAAGTCGGAAACCGTCGGGTGTGTGTGGGTGTGTGTGTCCTGATAGTCACCTGCCTTCCAGCACCGACTCCATAGGCTCGACCCCATCGGTGTTCACGGCTTGAAGCTGCTCGGCAAACGCCACCGCGCTCTCCAGGCGGCGGACGCCCTCCCAGTTGCGGAAGTCCACCAGCGCCAGCCGCTCCAGGTGATCCAACAACTCCAAAGTAATTTTGGTCTGCTGGACACACAATTTGTTTGTTGTTCTTCAAATAGCGCAAAGAAATCCCGGCAAGCTACGGTACCGCGCGGCCCCTTGGACCGCTAGGCGCTCAGAAACGGGTCAGAGAGGAAATCGGGGGGACAATGGGGCGATTTTTTCAGGCGCCGCCCGGAGAGCCCCCCCCCCCAGGACAACGGAGAAGCCGGGCTGAAGCCCCGCGGCGGAAAGCGGAGCTGGAGAACGACCCCCCCGGGGGTCCCTCCGCACCCCCAAAGCGGCAGAGCCCGGCGGGCCTAATTGTGCCCACTCACCCGGCCGGACCCGGCGTCCCCCGCCGAAGAGGCGCCCCTCCGCCCGAGCGCAGCGCGCAAGGGGCTCCAGCCCCTCCGGGCCCAACTGCCGGCGAGCATGAGGACGCGCCGCTTCCGCTTCCGGCGCCGACGCGGAAGTGACGTGAGTCCGCGTCCGGCGCGCTGCGTCAGTCCGCCATGAACAGCGTCGGCGAGGCCTGCACGGAGCTGAAGCGCGACTACGACCAGTGCTTCAACCGCTGGTTCGCCGAGAAGTTCCTGAAGGGGGAGGCCGGCGCCGAGGGAGACCCCTGCGTGCAGCTCTTCAAGCGCTACCAGCTCTGCGTCCAGGTGAGGGACGAGAGGCCGGGGCTGCTCCCGGGGGGCTTCCCCGCCAAGGAGAAGGGAGCTTGGTCGCCGGAAGACGGGCGGACTTCAACTCCCAGAATTCCTCGGCCAGCAAGTAACCGAGGCTGGGAGAAACTCCGCCGAGGTTCTTCAGGGTCTTTCAGCGGGCGCCTCCCTTGGAAGCGAGTTGGGGCGCCAGCCTGCAGCCGGGCCCTTTGCCTTGGCTAGGGGGGGGAATCGGACAAGCAGAGGCTGCCCGCTTAGGGGGTGCTGCACTTCGGGCTCCCCTGAGTCACGGCTTCCGGTTTCCTCAGGTGGAGGTTTCTGAAATGTGGTTGCCTTGTGGAAAAAGTAAAAGAACTTTTAAAAAAATACAGGACTTTTACGAATTCCAAGGGTGAAACAGAGAGGTTTTATTTTTGCGCAAAGGTTCAGAAGCGATTAACAGTCAGCAAATTTCTGAACAAGGGAGAGGGTTCAAAACTACAGTTTTTTATAGTTTTCCCTTTCTAAGGAACAAAGGGGGATAGAGTCAGTGTTTCTCAACCTTGACCATTTTAAGGCATGTGGACTTCAATTCCCAGAATTCCACAGCCAGCAATGCTGGCTGTGGAATTCTGGGAGTTGAAGTCCACATGCCTTAAAATGGTCAAGGTTGAGAAACACTGGCATAGATGGAATCTTACACTGTATAATTTTCAGTTAGTTTCTCACAGGCATGCAATGAATAGAAGGTCTCACTTTTGTACAATGTTTTTAAATACGCATTAGGTCATTCACACAGCTTTTTGCTAACACTGCTTTCTTCCGGGAATTATGCTGACACATCATTTTGCTTTTAGTGATTTCTTTCATTATCATCATTATTATACTTCATTTTTATTCTATGTTATTCTATTTCGTTCCACTTTAGTTGGGGGTCGGTGGCTCATCCTGTCCTGCCCACCCAGTATCGGGAGCGGTTATTAAAAGGTTGCCAAATGCCTCGTGGAAACGGGGGGGGGGGGACGAAGGAGGGCTCTGCTTGCAAATCTGAAAACAAATTATGCTCCTTTTCTACAGTTTGGTCATTTATCTTGAGGTTGTCCCGGACTTTTAGTGCTTACGATAGGTTTTTTTTGAACCTCCTTGACATCTTAAGAATATCCTTCGTTTATTTCCCTTTCAGAAAGCTATTAAGGAGAAGGACATACCCATCGAAGGCTTGGAATTCATGGGCTCCAGCAAAGAAAAATCTGAGAACTCCTCATAAATCTGATGACACCTGCAACCCCCCTCCCCCAAAGACAATGAAAAAGGCAAACTAAAATGAACTGGCTGCCAAACAAGGAACTCACACTAATATTGCTAATGTGGGTGGGGAGATACAGGGTGCTGTTTCCTTGCGAGGTTTGTCTCATCAATCTAGTGACAGCTGCTTCATTTCCATTGTTACTGGGAAAGGTTTCATCACCATTGCCTGTGTACAGTCATGTGAGAAAGTAAATGCCCCTATTGAAATTTTTGACTTGTTCAACATAGATACTTGAACTTCCACAATAATGATAAAAAGGACACAATATAACATATCATGCGCTATTTAAATCTTGTGGACCATTGTGAATTTAAATAAACAAATGCAAATTTTGCATGTAGAAAAAATATGCCCGTTTATTTAAGTATGCCTCAAATGCCTAAAAATAGGGTTTTAATTGAGTAGAACATTGTTGGAATCTTGGCGGAAGCTGTCTTTTTAAAACAACACCCTGTGTTGCTGAAATGTGTGGCGTCATCATGCTTAACTTGAAAGAATGCTCGGAGGCTTTCCAAAAAGTTAAAGCCAATGAACCTGGAAAGGGGTTTTCAGAGATCACCAAACAATTGAGCAGCAATCATTCCAATGATTATCCACAAGTGGAGAAGGTTTCAAACAACAGCCAATTTGGCCAGGCATGTGGTGGTCAGTGACCAAATAAAATGACTCATTGTCCATCCTAGGGTGTCCCTTTAGCTTCAGCCCAAGCATAATGCAAGACCCTGAAAGAAATCCCTAAGAACCTCAGAATTTTGACACATGACCCTCTTCACTATTGATGTTAAGGTGTATGACTCTACCATTAGAATGAAGCTGCACAAATTAAATCTATATGGGAAGTATGCCAGGAAACATTTGCCCTCCAGAAACACCATTAGGACAAGACTATTTTCCTAATGAACACCTAGATGTTGTGGCCTGCGACCAGTTCTGTGGACAGAGGTTTTTCTGCGGACCGGAGAGTGTGTGGTTTTGTGTGCTGCCTGCATCCCGCGGATGGGGCTTTGCTTGTTTGCACGGCCTGGTTTCTGGCATACCGCAGCCCGGTGCCAGTCCATGGACCGGGGGGTTGGGGAACCTTGGTATAAAGATCCCTCACACAGGCCAACAATACAGCCACATACTAATACTGCACTTTGGTTATAGTTCAAAAGTTCAAAATGAGTGAAATAAGTATTTGACCCCTTCGCAAAACATGACTAGTACTTGATGGCAAAACCCTTGTTGGCAATTGCAGAGGTCAGACGTTTCTTGTGCTTGGCCACCAGGTTTATACACACCTCAGGAGGGATTTTGTCCCACTCCTCTTTGCAGATTCTCTCCAAGTCATTAAGGTCTTGAGGCTGATGTTTGGCAGCTCAAACCTTCAGCTTCCTCCAGATTTTCTATGAGATTAAGGTCTGGAGATTGGCTAGGCCACCCCAGGACCTTAATGTGCTTCTTCTTGAGCCACTCCTTTGTTGCCTGTTGTCTTGGCCGTGTGTTTTGGGTCATTGTCATGCTAGAATACCCATGCACGACTCATTTTCAATGCCCTAGCTGAGGGAAGGAGGTTCTCACCCAAGATTTGATGGTACATGGCCCTGTCCATTGTCCCTTTGATACGGTGAAGTTGTCCTGTCCCCTTAGAACAGTGATTCTCAACCTTTCTAATGTCGTGACCCCATAATACAGTTCCCCATGTTGTGGTGACCCCCAAGTGGGTGTGGCCACCAATAAGAGGGAGTAGGACAGCTAGGGAAAAGGGAAAAAAATGGCGGACAGCATGGCTTGGTGACCCCCATGAAATGGTCATTTGACCCCAAATGGGATCCCGACCCACAGGTTGAGAACCACTGCCTTAGAAGAACACCCCCAAAGCATAACATTTCCACCTCCATGTGGTGTTCTTGGAGTATGGGCAGCATTCCTCCTCCTCTAAACACGGTGAGTTGATGCCAAAGAGCTCAATTTTGGTTTGACCACAACACTTTCACCCAGTTCTCCTCTGAATCATTCAGGTGTTCATCGGCAAACTTCAGATGGGCCTCTACATGTGCTTTCTTGAGCAGAGGGCTTTGCGGGCACTGCAGGATTTCAGTCCTTCACGGCGTAGTGTGTTACCAATTGTTTTCTCGGTGACTATGGTCCCAGCTGCCTTGAGACCATTGACAAGATGCCCCCTGTAGTTCTCGGCTGATTCCTCACCGTTCTCATGATCATTGAAACTCCGCGAGGTGAGATCTTGCACGGAGCCCCAGACAGAGGGAGATTGACATTTTGTGTTTCTTCCATTTGCAAATAATTGCACCAACTGTTCTCACCTTCTCACCAAGCTACTTGGCGATAGTCTTGTAGCCCATCCCAGCCTTGTGTAAGTCTACAATCTTGTCCCTGAACATCGCTGGGACAGCTTTTTGGTTTTGGCCATGGTGGATAGTTTAGAGTCTGATCGATTGCTTCTGTGGACAGGTGTCTTTTATACAGGTAACAAGCTGAGATTAGGAGCACTCCCTTTAAGAAAGTGCTCCTAATCTCAGCTTGTTACCTGTATAAAAGGCACCTGGGAGCCAGAAACCTTGCTGATTGATAGGGGATCAAATATTTCACTCATTAAAATGCAAATCGATTGATAACTTTTTTGAAATGCGTTTTTCTGGATCTTTTTGTTGTTATTCTGCCTCTCACTGTTAAAACAAACCTGCCATTACAATTACGGACCACCAAGATTACTGTAGGATGCAATCGCATTCCACAGCTATTTATCACATTGTAAATTTTTTCAAGCAGCACTGGATCACAGATTTGAAAGCGACTTCAGGGGTCCTGAAGTTCATCTGCTTGGTACAGGATTTGCAAAACAATTTTGGACAGAGGGTTCTTCACTCTCTGTTAAGACTTCTGGCAAAGGGAAACTTTAAAAAAAACTATTAGATTGGCTGATAGCTGTGATAATCGAGAAATTCCTCCGAATATCTGATCCTCCGAATCTAGTTTCACTGTACTGATTCTGGTTCTGAGCTCAGGGGTATCAAGCTTCAAGTCGGTCCCCTCTTTTATATGACAATGGTTTACAAATCTGAAGCCTCCTATCATATTTTCCCTCAGTTTTTCTTTCTTTCTTTCTTTCTTTCTTTCTTTCTTTCTTTCTTTCTTTCTTTCTTTCTTTCTTTTTTTTGTAAGATAAACTCACCTAGGTCTTTCAACTATTCCAAAGGCTTGGCAGCTCTCCTCTGAATTTATTCCAGTTTTCAGTGTCTGTTTTAAATTGCAGTGCCTAAACTGGGAAGAATATTCTAAGAGAAAAGCAGGGACTTCCGCAATGTGGATTCTATGTTCCTGTTAATGCATCTCAAAACAGCACTTGCCCCTTAATAACTGCACTACCCAAGTCAGGTCTAAATATTGCTGAAAGAATTAACCATGGCAAGATGAATAATGCTGCTTTCTCTAAAATGACAGGTTACTCATTTTCTTGTCAGTTTCCTTACTGGAAACGTACTTCTTCAGAAAACAATTTGTTCTAATTCCAAGCAATCTTGACCAGTATCCGTTTGTATCATTTATCTTAACAAACTGAGCCCATTGCTTTCCTGCAAAAACAGTGCTATTTAATTTTTCATCTACGAAGCTCAACAATGCCCTCCTTTGAGATAGGAAAAAGGCACTGATACAAAGTTTTTGTTAAAAAAAAGAATGAATGGAAGATTTGGCTAGAATATTTTTATTTCAGGAGACTTCTACAGGAAAAACATCAACTGTGAGAAGTCAGAATAAACAATATAGCATATGCAGATTATGGTCCCAGCTTCAATTCTGGTCCAACTACTTTTAATGGTCCATGCTGTGGCTGTGGTCCACTTGCCTAATGGTCACTCTTCATAGCCAGTTGGAAGTGCATTGACATGCGGGTTATGGAAAAGAGTATGGTTCCCATCGCCCCAAGGGAAGGGCTGCAAAGAGAAAAGAGATGGTAGTTTTTAGCTTCCTAAATTACACAAATTAAGATCTCTATAATGGCTTTTTGACCAGTAAAGCGGCAGTAGCTAGCCAATATTATCTCAAAAAGCTAAACCTGGTCAGATGCAGCTCGTACAGAGGTGGGGGACCACTAGAAAAACCCCAGGTTGTAGACTAGACTGAGAAGTCAAAAGGGGGGGGGGAAATATCAGAAGGCAAACTGCTTCCCCAATGCAGCCAAGAAAACTGTATGGATATTTTCAAGAGATTCCAGGGATCAAACTTTATTCCAAGGAGCCTTAAGTATGGTAGGTGATTTTTAAAAATAATTTTCAAACATCAATTCTTGAAGATGTTGGCAAGCTGAATGTGCAGAACAATAGTTTTGTTTGGCAATAATGCAAGGATTTTTTTTTTTAAAGTTGGCATCCACTGTGGTATATCAGAAATAAGTGGACCTTTTTCTCTTTTTGTCAATGTGGCTCAGAGACAGCAATTGGTCCAATGAAGATCATGCACAAGGGCTATATGTACAATAAATCAACAAACTGGATGAGAAACGGATTTTCCTGTAGTTGAAGCTCACTTCTCATCAAAATTTAATTGTGAACTTTATATAATTGCCTCACCCTTAAAATTTGTTGTGATCGATAAGAGTTCAGGATGCTATAAATAACTATAACCAGTTTCCCAATAGGCAGGCAATGTAATTCTCATCCCATTTTAAAACCCAAGTGTAGGAGAGATTGTTATAAGAAGGGAAATACAAAAAGTCCTCCACTTACAACTGTTCATTTAGTGACCATTTGAAGTTACAACAGCACAAAAAAAAGTGACTTAAGTGACAAAGTGACCATTGTTCACACTTATTTTCAGTACCCCCATGGACAGGTGATCACAGTTCAGACACTTGGCAACTTGAGGACCCAGATTGTTGGGGGCAATGTAAATATATATATACATTGCTTACTGGTGTACACCGCTTAGAGAGTGCTTGCACTTAAAGCGGTATATAAGTCTCATAAATAAATAAATAAACTGACTCATGTTTATGACGGTCGCAATGTCCAAGGTTTGATCATGTGATCACCTTTTGTAAACTTATGACCGGATTCATTTAACAAGTTACTAACTTAACTGCAGTGATTCACTTAAGAACTGTGGCAAGAAAGATTTAAAATGGAGCAAAACTCACTTAATAAACATCTCACTTAGCAACAGTAGTCTTGGGCTCAGTTATGGCTGTAAGTCGAGAACTACCTGTATTAGATGAGAAACGATGGACGTCCAGGCCATGCTTTTGGGATCTGAACCTAAACCTCAATTTCCGCATCCGTCTGCAAATGACTCCCAACAGTCAGCACAGAACAAGTCTAGAAACAATGCAAATTCAGTACCTTG